AGGATTTAGCCTTACTTCAATCAGTGTCTCGCACAGTCTAGTGACTAGCCTTGATACCATTTGTAAAAATCCAAGCTTACTACTAGAAAATATTGTCCGTTTTGGCTTATTATGTATCATCATCAGTCTCACGATTTTAAAACGCATCTATTATGGAGAGGATCTAGCCCTACTCCGATCAATGTCTTGCACAGTCCGATGACTGGCTCTGATATCATTTGTAACCGCTCAAGCCCACCACTAGCAGGTACTGTCTGCTTTGGCCTGTTACATATCACTATCAGCTCACGGTTTTAAAACAAATCTACTATAGAGAGGGTCTAGCTTTACTCCGACCAATGCCTCGCATAGTCCAGTGACAGGCTCTAATACCATTTGTAATAGTCAAAGTCCACCGTTACAAGATATTGTCTGCTTTAGCCCATTACGTATCGTCGTATCCCTCACAGTTTTAAAACACATCTTTTAGATAGAGGTTTCCACATCTCTGATAAGGATCTCACAAAACTGTTCAAAACATAACATTAGAATTTACGTAATTCTAATTACTCGTGCTAGATTTTCTCCTCGGATCATAGCATCAAGTGTTTTTTTTTTCTTTCTCAAATTTAAAAGTTCGATGACGTATAACTCAACCATAAGTTCTAAGCTTTCCCATTAGTTCAAAATTCAAAGTTTGTTTTCACACCTCACTATTTGTTAATATTGATATTGAAATTGAAATGGTTAGTCAAATAAATATATCTTCCCTTATATGATATAAGAATAAATTCCCTTTCAAAGTTATTCCAAACAAAAAGTAAAAAACCAGACAAAACATTAATGTCATGCTGTCACCTTCCTCTTTCTCTCTCTCTCTCTCCAAATATACACCTCACTTTCACACAAATATGAATACATGGAAGCTACTTTGCAACGTTCCGATTATATAAGACACAATATCGGTTCTTTAAGAATGTTTTGTTCTCACTTATATGGTAAAACCAATGAAAAAGAATGGGTAATTCACGACCTATGCTCAAGATTTAGAATTTAGATTCAGCACCTAATGCTTGATGGCTCGACCCATGCTCAAGATTTGAAATTCAGGTTTGGCACCTAATAGCTCAAACATTCCCTTATAACATGGTCACGTTACTTACCCATTTCTTACTTTTCAAGATGTTTGTCTTCACTCACATGCATCACAGGAGGTCACTCAACATAAAACCGCTCCAAAAAAACACGTTTAACCATGAAATTTCAATTATTTGTTGCTATTTGATACGTTTCTTTATTAGGGTTCGTCAAATTATAATGTTTTACTACCCTTTATTATTCATATTCTTTATGTAGCAAAAGTCCTACCTTTATTTCTTTATAGTATTTATAGAACCTTTATTTCCTCCCGCTTACCTCTGTAACGAAACTTACAAGACAAGTAACATCATGAAATGGCGTAAAAGTCGTTGTAGATCCAATAATGTTAAAGTTAAAAAGGAGATGGAGAGACGTCACGGTCTATATAAAATACATGCAAAAATTTTCTTGTTGTCAATTGATTTGAAGATAGAACTCCGTGTTTATACAATATAATGTTAGAATACGTAAAACTCAAATGAATATTCGATCAAAGTCAAAGAGACCTATATTATGACCAACATAAAAGAAGATAGGCCGAGAAGAAAGTGCACGTCACCTACTAAAAAAACGTTGGAGAAACACGTCGAGTGCTACTATTATAAGCTATTTTATAATGAGAAATAAAAGGCTCGAGTTAAAACCTTAAGAAATAAAATCTTCGATCAAAAGGTCAGACGTTCACTTGAACCGAGCCATTGACTCGCATGTAGCTAGTGCTTAGCCCGACGAATATTTGGGGACTTTGGTTTAGTTCACCCTCGGCCTCATTTATAAATGTTTAGTTTTTTTTTAATGATTTAAAAAAAATAATAATGATAATAAAAATAAAAAAAAATAATTCAGATTCCGTACTTAATGGTACCCAACATTTTTTCCAACATGATCACATTACATACTTCTCAGTTCTCACTTTTAAGAGTGAAGACTATCTTCATAGACGAATACGAGCCTTTATATACTACACGGGATTGTTTTTTTTTTAATTTATGTTTAAATCAACAAATCTCAAGTTATGATATTAATAAACGATAATTGAGTAATTATAATTGTATGCAATGTGAATTTGTTTAATTTTATTTTCGTCATTCAATTTTAAAAAGAATATATTTAATAATTTTTTTATAATTTTAATGTTTGTCTAAAAATTAATATTATTAATTTAAATTTTTGTAATTAGTTTCAAAGCAAATTTTATTTTATTAAAAACTGCAATATTTTATAAAAAAAAAAATCAACGGTCGAGATCGTTAGTGAGTGTGAATGAGTTGACAAAAAAATGTATAATTAATTATTATTATTATTATTAATACAATGTGTGTCGAAAGTATAATAATACATTTAGTCAACCACGATGAGAACGTGGCATTGACTGAGTCAAATAAAATGGACTTTGAGAAGGACACCTCAGCATCCTGACAAAGCTTAGCTGGAAAATAGATCTCAACAACTGTCGCCAATTTTCATTCAATTCCACGTCCTCACCATTTACATATATATCAGATATTTTTTTTTAATTTTAATTATATTATAACTTTTAGGTTTATGTTATTTAAACTTTGAATTAAAACCTTTAATATTTTATTTAAAAAATAGCTCATTAAAATCATTCGGATAAAAAAAAAATCACATGATAATATTTTACTAACACATGAACAATATTTTAAATATTTATAATATTTAATATTTAAATTTATTAAACTCTACTCCAATTAACATTAAAATAAGCATGAAATTAAACGTTTAAGATAAGATACGTTAAGAGATAATATTTTTCAAATAAATTACAAGAAGTGATAATATCAGTAAGCTATACTCAAAGTCGGTCTGTTCTACGCTCCCAATATATAAAATTATTTTCCACACAATCAAGCAAGAAAGTAGGTTATTGCTTAATTAAGCCACCCAAATTATTTTGTTGTCCGCTAATGATTTGAACGTACTTCAAGATGTATAAGTACGTTAATTAAAGTGATAGATCGATCATCGGTTGAGTTATGGAGTCCATATCAGTATGTTTCTACATTTATTTTATTTTATGTATAATACGTTTTAACAGATATTAGTTTAAAATAATGTTTTAAAAATACTTATGAATTATTTCATTTTTTTATTTTCTCTCTCGTTTATTTCGTTTCTCGTTTTAAAAAAATTATTAGAATGGTTGTAGTAACGAGCCTTTACATAAATTTAACACGTACAAAATGAATGCAAAGCTCGAAAAGTACCACGAACATTTAATATAAATTTAATTTGTGACAAATGTTTGTGAAAAAAAATTAAAACATAAAATTGTGGATAAAGGAAAAACAGCTGAAACAATTTAATCGCCTGTCGTGTCCGGGGCAACAAACTCAGCTGAAAGTCATGTCCTTCTGTCCGGTCTTAACTCTAAAGAAATGTCTGCCTCTATTAAATAATATACACTTATTTTTTGCACAATTATTTTAAAATAAAATAAAAATTCATTTCACCCCGACATTTTATTTTTATTAAAAATAAAATTTTAAATAGACTACGAATAACACAAACTAACCCAACCCGAAAATTTTATGGTCAGATGGATTGGGTTGGATTCACTATCCAATCCATTCCACGAATGGTAGAAATATTGACATACAGACGAAAATGATGAAAATTTATTTATTTTTTTTCTATATAAGTTAAAAATATATTTAAATTTGATTTAACCCGTAACTCACTCCAGTTTAAATAATTTGTTAGGTTAAATATAATTATTATAAATGAATTAAATAAACTGGAGTTTATAAAAAATATTGTAACATCCAACTAAACACAAAATGATTAGATATTGAAATCAGATCTAGGATTATTTAATCATTAAAATAAGATTAATGGATGAATAATCGAACAATATTAATGACCCATTAATAAGGGAAACTCAAAGTCAATGAAATAATTAAATACCAACATTTATTTTATGTTATCATGATCTGTCATTTTTCATTAACTATTTATAGCTTCTACTGACAAACATAAATAAATTAATAAAATTAATAAAAATAATATTTCCAAATTAGTCCTAAAATAAAAATAATAATGAGTAAATAGTTTTTTTTTTTTTTTTTTTTTTTTTTTTAAACTAGTTTGTCAGTGAGGGTTTCCACACTCTTATAGAATTAAACCGCCTTATGTCTAGCTCTGATACCACTTGTAACAGCTCAACCTATCGTAAGGAGATATTGTCCGTTTTAGCCCGTTATGTATTACTGTCAACCCTACAGTTTTAAAATTCATCTGCTATGGAGAGATTTTCACATCCTTATAAGAATAATTTGTTCCCTTCTCAAGGGAACCTAACATCCTTGTGTCTGGCTCTGATATCATTTGTAACAGTCTAAACCAACCACTAACAAATATTGTCTGTTTTAGCTCGTTACGTATTATTGTCAACCTTACAATTTTAAAACATGTCGTAGAGATTTCCACACCCTTATAAGGAATAATTTGTTCCTCTCTCAAGGGAACCTAACATCCTTTCTGATACACCACACCATATATTAGAGTTTCTACCCTTTTATAAGAAATTATCCATTCCTCTTTTAAGGGTGTCTAGCATTTTTCGCTGACACACCGTCCCATGTCTAACTTTGATATCATTGTAACAACTCAAGTCAACTGCAAGCAGATATTGTTCATTTGAGCCAATTATGTATTTAAAATGCGTATGCTAGAAGAGATTTCCAGTAATACTCCGCTCCCGTAGTAGATATCACAACTGTTTCATTTTCATTAGTCACTATATAAAATGAAAGGGAAAATGACACAAAATGTGAAAGCACGATGCTATCTTATTAGCTTGGAATTTTCAAAGCTATGATTTAGGGTTTATGATTAAAAAAATAGCAAGTGGCCATTCTCCTTCACATTCTAAAACGCCAATAAAACGCCCACCTTCCACCATGTTTTTCCCCCAACATGCATTCACCTTCCGACCAATATTCTCCGGCAAGCTACCGTAGCATAGGCACCTTGCGTTGTAATGGAAGCCGTCATAGATCAACTGGCGGCGGTGGAAGCGGTGGAAGCAGCTGCCGATGATCGGAAGTCACGTAAGAAGCAGCTGAGTAGAACTTCTTCTTCCGACAGCGATGAAATGTATTCCGGCGGATCTCCTAAAGGTAAGTTTAAATATATATATATTTGTGTCAAATATATTATTTTGATATATATAAATATTTTTTTTTTGGATCAGAAATTTTGAAATTAGGTGGCAAAGCGATTGCTCCAACTGGGGAAGCGGCTGATATCATTTTCATCCCTCATGTGATCGACAAGACACTTATTTTAAATCGTGGCAATAATAATTCAACTCCGCCGCCGTATGATGTCTCCGACATCGGTGGTGGTGGTGGCGGCGCTGTCGGCGATGGATATCCAAAACCCATTGAAGGTGAACAAGAATTAGACTTGCAAACTCTTTACAAGTTACCTGATTCCCACAACTTCTACTGCCCCACTTGCAAATGTTGTATTACTAAGGTGATCATTCGCCGTGACCCTCCATCGCCGCGGTCGGATGTTACACCAACGGAGATACGGCCGCGGAGTCCCGGACCAGATGCTGGAAGAACTGATGTTCGTGACGACGTGTTCAATCCCGAAGGAGACCATGGTGGAAGGATCGATGTCTTATGCAGCAATTGCTTTAGTTTCCTTGCTCCCATTGGTAAAGCTCTTTTATTTCTAGTCGTTATGGATTATTAATCTCTATAATAGTATGATATTGTTCGTTTTTTTGAGATCGTACATCGATTGGGCGGAGAACGAAGCATTTTTTATAAACGTGTGGGAACCTCTCCCTAACATATGCATTTTAAAACTGTGAGAATGACGACGATACTTAACGAGTCAAAATGGACAATATCGGTTAGTAGTGGGCTCAAGCCATTACAAATGGTATCAGAATAAGACACCGGGCGGTGTGCCAGCTGACCCTAAAGAGGGTGGATTGTAAGATCCAATCTCAGTTGGAGAGGAGAACGAAGCATTGTGTGGAAACCTCTCCCTAACAATAAGCGATTTAGAACCGTGAGAATGACGGCGATACTTAACGGGCTAAAGAGAACAATATCTGTTAGCGGGAGCTCGAGTCATTACAAATGGTATTGGAGCTAGATATCGGGCTATGTGTCAGCGAAAACACTAGCCTCCAAGGAGGTGAATTGTGAGATCACCCTCGGTTGGAGAGGGAAACAAAACATTACTTTATAAAAGTCTAGAAATCTCTCTCTAACATACGCTAAAATCTAGTGATTTTTGTTTGTTTCTAACATTTTTTTCCTTATTTTAAGGTAAATGGATGTCTTCTCTATTTCGTCGGGAGAAGCCACAATTTCCGGCTGAAAAAGGTATTATAAACCCTTATCTTATTATTCATAGTTTAAAAGTTTTATTTTTTGAAAAAAAAAAAAAATTGAAACTTTGAAACTGCAGCACCCCCAGGAACTGATACTACAAGTGGTGCTGGTCCATCTACAACTCCCGGTGAACCAGACATCAAAGATGAAGGTCCTCCCTCATTCGTCATCCCGATTCCTCCCGGTGATGGCGGTGAAAGGTTAGGCCAAACAGTGAGCGGAGGCAGAAGTTTGGAGATAATGAAGAGTATCGTGTATGGAGGTTTAACCGAAGCGATCACAAGTTTGGGCATAGTAACCTCTGCAGCAAGTGCGAGTACTCCAACGGGTAAAATTTTAAAGTCTCGTTCGATAATCATTTGAATACGAGTTAAGAGAGCTAACCCATTTGTTCTAACGACGTAAACGTGGTGGATTTGCAGAGAACATCGTAGCTTTGGCATTGGCCAACTTAATTACGGGACTTATCGTCATCACAAACAATGTAAGTATAGAATTACACATAAATATTAATCAATCAAGTTTTTCAAAAGTTTAGGGACAAAAATGAAACAAATAAAAAAAAAATGTCAACGAGACCAAAGAACATAAACCCTAAATTGAATCGGGTCAATTTTACAGATCTCTGGGCTGAAGTCAAACAAACTCAAGAAAGAACCGAACGAAAGAGGTGAAGCAAAAGTAGATTCATACGAAGAAGCCTTAGGAGACAGACAACATTATCTTCTTCACTTCACAATCGCCATGCTATCATTCTTAATCTTCGGGCTTCTGCCTCCTCTCGTCTACGGCTTCTCGTTCCGTAACACCGACGACGGTGATCTCAAGCTCGCGGCGGTGGCAGCCAGCTCCCTTCTATGCATTGCTCTACTTGCGATCGCAAAAGCTTATGCTCAGAGGGCACGAAATTGGCAAGCCTATGCCAAAACCCTAGTTTATTACATTACTCTAGGGTTTGGGGCCTCAGGTCTGTCCTACTTAGCCGGCAAGGAGTTTGATAAGCTTCTTGAGCAATTTGGCTGGTTTAAGGGTGACCCATTGCCTCCTACTTTGTCGCTCCCTAATATGGACTTTGCAACTCCTACATGGGGATCCATATGAACCATATATGCTTCCAAATGTTTCAAGGTGTTTTCATTGTTTGTTGTGGGAAGATTTTTCAAATGATTAGGAATGATTATCTGTTTCAAGTTTCGTTCTATAATTTGATGGTTCGAGTTTCTAATTTCACGAGTAGATCTTGAGCTTTGCTCCTAACCCTTTACATATTAATTAAGATGCAAACGTTAATACTAGAGAGTAAAAGATTGTAGTACGTGCTTGTAACGGCCTAAATTCACTGCTAACAGATATTGTCCTCTTTAACTTTTCCTCAAAGCTTTAAAACGCGTCTGCTAGGAAAAGATTTTCATACCCTTCTTATAAAATGGTGTATCGTTCTCCTCCTCAATTGATGTGACATATCACAGTGTTTCATGCCACATGTACACAACACGACCATATAGGGTAGCCAAAGATAATTAATCTCTAAGACTAAAAAATCTCTAAGCATACCCTTATGACCTTTTAGTTCAAATTTAGTTTAATGCAAAAACTTAGATTTTTTTATTTTGTGAAAATTGATAAAAAAAAAATGTTTTTTTGTAATTGTTGCGGCGGCGGTGGCGGCGGCGACCAGCTGTCTACAACGAATATATTTAAAAATGTCCGTAACGTCAAATGAATGTGAACCGTAGAACTAGGCAACGGAGAAACGGGTCTAATTCCATATCCATCGTGCGGTGAGGATTCAAATCTATAAATACGAAATTAATATATTTTTAAAAAGCGACAAACATAAACAAAATAAAAAAAAAAATAATAATTATGTCACCGTTTATTACGTGGACGTAACCAATGACAGCATGACAGATGGACTGACACCACATACTTTACATCTGACTAATTTATGGTTATTTCATATTAAATTACTAATTTTAGTCTCTTTTATTTTTCTTCATTTAAATCATAGTTGGATTTGTTAGAATTTTAATATACAATCATAATCTAAATTAAAATTATTAAAAATATAATTTAGTTGAGCAATTTTTATATATATATATATGGTAAATGAAGTGAATCCTATTGTCAACATCTAACGACCCTACATAACATACAAATTGTTTGAAAATGTTTGTCTCATAGGTTGATATTGTTGTAGGGTCAAATGGGGACTCCAACACTCAATTGAGATAATAGAATGAGAAGTGGGAGATATATTTAAGGGTCCGATGCAGAGAACATAGGACTGCCCAAATAGGAGAGACAAAAGTAGGCCATAGATCTATATTAAGTATGGTATCATAATTAATCAAGACGGATCTTAAAGTTACATTCTCCACTGTAAAAGCAGTCTCTATTTATACACTTCAAGAATGAACGAGATTTCATTATCACATCTCGACCCTCGAATCAAATGTGGGTATATTATTATTTGATCAAATTACTCGAATAAGATTTTTTTTTTTTTTTTTTATATTTTAGAAAATGATGAAGATATTTGTGTAATGTTAAATGATATTAATTAATGAAATCTAAATAATTCATTATTATGATGGAAGGCTGATCTTTATACATTATGGGTAGTTATGATTAATAGCTGTTGATATTTTAAACTATTATTTTGTCTCAACCTTAATTTAATGCTTCTGCTACCAACTTCACTGCATCATTTTGTGGATGCCAATAAATGATTTACACGTGTCCATAGTATTGACTATATCACGTGATAATTTAGTAAAGAAATCGCTGGAAATAATAATAAAAATAATAAAAAAGAAAGTTTCGGATTCCAAAGGGATAATTCAAAATTTATTTATTATTTATTTTTTACCAAGGATAAAAACTATTATTACCTTTTTCACTTAGGAGGATAAAAATCGATATCGATATCTTGTGAATTAAAATCGTCGGTAAAAATTTATCACATCTAAAAAAAATAAAAAATTAGATAAAATATATTAATTAATAATACGTTAAAAATTCAATTTAAATTAAATACAAGTAAAATGAAAAAATAAAAAAAAGAAATAACTACTTTACCAAAAAAGTATTAACTAAATATAATACAAAAATAAACCATATTGTTTTTTCTGGTTGAAATAAATTAGTAGATTTTATTGGCGATAGATTGTTTTACCAAAAACCCCACGAACCCCACAGTAAGAAATGCCTAGCCTTGACTAGTAAATTGGAGGGTAAAATAGTCAATGAACGGAGAAAATAGTTCATATTTTCAGCTTTTTAATAACATGTTCATATTTACTTTTCAGAAACAAAAACAGCGCCAAAAACATAAAGGAAGTAAGAACTCCCTTTGATTCTGTCCCAGCTGCCGGAGTTCTTCTCGTCCGATGAACGGAGATAAGCATTTGCCAGAGGTGGAACCGGTCATGATGGAGGAAGAGGAGGAGGATGAAGAAGAGCGAACTGTTTTGCTGCGGAAGTCATTTCGTCAACACGCCCAATCTAGCATTTCATCCACTGACAGCGACGAAATGTTCTCCGGGGATTCCGAGGGACTGAAATTCGTCATTCGAGATGAACAACAACATCAACAACAACAAGAAGAAAAAGAAGGTTAGTTTCGGCTAATTACTCAACGCTGTTTCGATTTCTTTGGTCTCTTCCTGTTCTTGAAATTCGCTCCCGTCGCCATTCGAAAGAATAATTTGACATACTGATTCTGCAAGAGGCTGAGAGGTCTGGAACAGTCCGCCATTGTTGCGATACTGTTTCGATGACAATAGGCCAAAATGAAGCTTTCTGAGGCGAAAACAGAGTGAATTTATTCCTTACTTCGGCGTCTTTATATACAAAATTACTTCCGATACTTGAGAATCTACTCGATTACCTTTCTTTTAACCTCTGTGAGTAGCAAAATAGTCGATTCTGATCCCGTAAATCCTGGCGAAGAAGAAGTAAAGTGAATTCGACGGAAAGAATGGGCGAAAAACAAGCTTCTTCTTGACGAAGACTACGTGTTCGACGAAAGGAAAAAGAGGGCCATGGTTTGGTTTGATTTATTACCTAATTTTAATTCTGAATTAATTATCTTAATTACAGTGTTAACTCTATGAAAACTTTTCTTCACAACAAATAATTAACACGTCGTCATAATTAATAATAACCAACAATTTATTTTCCTTATTTTCCGGTACATTTTTTTTTTTTTTAAATTTGGCATCATCGTAAGAATTTAGAAATATCCCCAATTTTTATTATATACAAAAATTCCATTTTTTCATGGCCAATTTGGATTGGGTCCCGTTCAACGGTTCCAAAGAGGCGATCTTAAATCCCTAATTTGACAATCGAAGACTTTATTTTTTGCTTTTCTTTTCTTTCTTTTTTTGAATGATTTATGTGAACTACGCATATGGTTAGTTGGGTGTTTTTTTTACTTTTCCGTTGGAAAATGAAGAACCATTGAATACCCACGAATTACTGAAGCTTTGAAAAGATTATTCTTTTAACAGATTGGTTCTTTTTCCCAGTAACTTGCAATAAGTGTAAGAATAATTGGAGTTTTGAATTTTTACTGCATGGATTATTTCCCCAAGCTCGGAATTGGGTTCTGTAACCAAGCAAGAACAGGAACTTCAGTAGATTTTTTATGTTCTCGATTATGCTATTGTTGAACTGTGGGAATTTTGTTTTCCTTGCCATAATTCTATTGGAAGAACCAGAATGAAATGCTGCTGAAGTCATTTGTGGGTTTTATTATGTTATATTGGTACTTTTGTTAGTGGAACATTTATAAACAGTGTGATAAGCAGCTTCCTCCGGCTTTATGATTAGGGACAGAGAATTTGTTCCAAATTTGGGTATTGATTTGGAAATTCGATTTTACTTCCTATCTAGTGATTTATTGTTGTTGCTCTTGAATTGGGTGAATATATAAACATGTTTGAACGATCATGTAACTTCAGGTACGGGATATTCTAATGGATCTTCTCGGTTGGAAATTGGTGGTGGCCGTCCAATTTACGAAGCAATCCCCACTGATGAGATTGAAGCTGTCACCACAAGGAAATCAGACGCCCAAAATGGTACTTCGATCAAGTTCCAGCTTGATCCGATCCATTTAGCTGTTGCTAATCCACCAACCAAGGGGGCGATTGAGGAGCAGGCTTCATATTATACCTCTCTCGACAATGGGACTACTGGAGATAGAAGAGTGGAGTTGAGGACAGAAAATGGAAATGAAGTGGCTGATTTATATCTTGAAAGGATATATGAGAAACCCAGCTCACATAATTTCTACTGTCCGAACTGTCAGGCTTGTATTACAAAGGTGATTATACGTGATAGGGAATGGGTAAATAATACTGTTTCTGCACCTATTCCTACTCAGGTTGATAAATTCAGATGCACCTCTTGCCTCAGTTTCCTCACCCCTATAGGTGCGTTTCTCAGTCTGATCTTGAAGAAGAATTGATATTTATTGCATGGTTCAAACTGTGCTGCCGCAGTTGGTCACCTAAAAGGGTGGCAAAAACTCTGCATAATTTTGAAAACTGTTGCCATTAATGGATTTGCAACTTAATATATTGAAGGAAAAGCATCCCCGTCAGTAGCCCAAGAGGATGCCGGTGGCACATGCTGATTGAGGCTTAGAACTATTTTAAAAAATCTTGAGAAGCTTTTGAATTAGATTCGTAAGTTTTAAGTTACATTGTGTCAGCTTTTAGGTTAAGTTTGATCTCTTTGAAGGTTAAATTTAGTAGTTGGAGGAGATCTAAATATTGTCTAAGATTTTGGGAAAAGGCATGGTTAAATCTTGGTCCAGTTTAATTTTTTGCCATGCGTATTTTTTCCAATCTTCATAGTTGTTTATAACTGTTGTCAAATGGGTCTAATCAGGATTCTTGAGTTTAACATTTTTTCAATAAGCAGGTTCATGGCTGTTTCCTAACTTGGTTTCTCCATATCCTGAGGAAGAAGTTTCATCTGGACCAGGTGTTTGATTTTGCATATGTTTGTTGTGCTTTATGTCAATTTTTTTCCCTTTGTTTTAACCTTCTGAAGATTATCTTATTGACACGAACTGAAATGTAAATTAGAAAGATTGACATTTCCAACAATACTTGTAAGAATATTGCTAGTGAATCAATGTTGATGGTTACCCTCTTAATTCATCCATCTAACTTCTTTCCATCCTCACTTTCCTTCTTGAAAGT